AAGGACTCTATAGCTAACCAGAGATTCCACAACTGGAGAGTCTGAAGGATCCAGAAAGACTGAAAAAAAAAAAAAAAAAGGCCAAATTCACAAGAGTTTATAACAAACATTCCCTATGGATAGCAATAACATAAAATAATAATAATAATAATAATAATAAGCCACCAAAATAGTAGGGGGAAGGGCAGAAAGCAAAATAAAATGACCTTGACTCCAACTCTCTCCTCTCCCACTCTCCTTGAGGTAACATCTCTTACTCCTTCTGAACATGAAGATTTTTCTAGAATATGGCGAATGTAAGTAAAATACTTGGAAGTGAGCAGAAAAAAGCCAACAAGTGTAAAGGTAATCTACAGCAGACACAGAACAGTCGTCATCGAGAGGAAATCTGACAGCCTATTGATTACTAATGAGAAAAGAAAACAAACAAAAGGCAATATGTATTCTTTGAATACTCAAAACAAGTTTTCAAGTAATGCCTTATTCCCTAACAGGTAAATTCTGACTACGAAAATCCACAGAACGCACAGCCTTATCATAGTTACCATCCTACTGATATGCTTAATGCTTAACTCTGACACAGGCATTAAACTGCCCATTTCCTATTTCTATTTTTCTTTCTCAATTGTCATGATGAGTCCGTGCTATGATGCAATGTTTTTGCAGAATCAAGTCGTTTTGACCATTTTGCTTCCCTAAAACCATGCCGTCTACAAGCGAGGTATTAAAACCACCGTCACTAAGAATAACACATTGCTTAGGGGAGAGTGACATACGACTTGAAAGTTTTGCGGTCTTCAGGCTCAAATCCAACTCGGGCTCCCGCTGTCTTCCCCCAGCAAAGCAACTTCGAGAAGCTCACTCTGTTTGAAACTCGAAGCTATCCTTGCCGAGATTTGCCCAGATTTGAGACCTGGGCTCGAGACGCACCCCCACGCCCCGACCACCTTCCCCACCCCCCAGCCCCGGCCCCCCTTAGAGTGAGAACCAGTCGAACACGGATCTCTCCCTTTCTCCTCCAAACCCAGTATCTCGCTACAGCTGGTGCATTGGAAGTTATGAGCACAAACAGATGCTGCAAAGAAATCTGTTTCTATTGCTCAACTGTTCCAAGCATGTTTCAGTATTTTTAGCTCTGGGGATGTTCTGGTGCGCACACAAACTCTATAGGCATGATCTGGGACTCCGGAGCGTGGGTGAGCGCTCCAGCAGCATGACAGCTGGGCACCACTGGAGCAGCAGGGCCAGGGTAGGGGACGGCGGCCCGAGTCCACTCCCCCAGGAACACACAGGCAGCGAGAAAGACGGACGGAAGAAAAACACACCGCAGCCCTTACCTGTTGCTGGCGCAGGAGCATGGGGACATGGAGTGGAAGTGGGGGATACAGAGGCATGTAAGATCCAGGAGTTTGTAAAAGCGAGTGAGCCAAAGCCAACCCGAATCCCCAAGACCCAGCTTGCCGGCGCCGGGCAGGCTGCGCGCTGGCCAGGGCTCCAGTGCGCTCTGCAATATCCTGGGCTCTTTTGATTGAGTCGCCAAACTACTGCAACAAACTAGCTCGTATTCCGGGCTGCACAACCCTGGCGGATTTTTGTGCGTAGGAGAGGTGAACTGACAATGTGAGAAAAGGTTCTAAGCGGATACCCAACTCCTATCTTCATATCCTCACGTGGCCCCTAGGAGGAGCTGGTGAAATATGCTTAGGTTTTGCAAATATGTATTTAATCCTGCCTCACCAAGGGGGCCTCTTTTCTTAGCACTGAGCAAGATACTTAAAAGGGTGTGGAATGGGTCATGCACGCGGAGTGACTGCTCTGACAGACAAGTGACGTTGCTGTTCCATTTCACTTGCTAAGATTATGCAGTACACCAAGCCTGTTACCAGCTCTGTTGCATTTTAAAGTTGTGTACGTGGGAATAATGCTTCACACAAGGGAGGTCTACTTTAGCATTTACTGTCATGTGTTATTTACAAACGGCTTAAATTAACTGTAAAATAGATGGGTGTCTAAGAACCTAGACTGTAGCCCAAAGCTAAAAGAACCTGGACATAGACAAATTAACTCTATTATTAGCCGAAGGATAGAGAATGATTTAACAGACTACTCCACTTCAATAAGCTTTTTCTGAGATGTGCTTCCTCCCGGATTTTTTCCTAAGAAGCAAACCGGAGGTCTAATTAATCCCTTAAAGCATATTAAACTTAAATGGAAAAAGGAAATCAATCATTTATATATTTTCTCTTCTATATTATGATTCAATCTGTGCATCTGTGGAGAGCTAAGAATTTTCCAAACCGCATGAATTTAGAGAGGGGACATGTTATTTTTTTCCAGGTAAAGAGCTCTATTTGGGAATCAGTCACCCAGAAAGAGATGCCATTTTTTCTGAAACTTGGATTGAAATTGTTTTACTTTAATATTTTACTCTAAATAAAATGAATATGCTACAGGCCAAGATAGTTTCATATGACCAAAAAAAAAAGATCTTTAAAGAAATGCATACAAAGTTTTAAGACGGTGGTTGGCAATATAAATTTAGCTATTGGGAGGCTCGTAATAAATGTATGCCAGTCTTGCTCATCAACCATCAACATCACTCTCACGCAGCCCCAGCCGCACAGACTGAATGATACACAACTAGGCTTATTTCTTGAAGAAGAAATCAAAGAAATAATTGAGAAAAGTTAACAATTTTAATAAGCAGCTTTTCAAAATCTGCACAGAATCTAGAATCTTTAACTTAATTGCTAAGCTAAATAAGGAAACATGAAGGATTAAATTTTGTAAATGAAAATTTGTAAATGCACGATAGCCTTGAATAATTCCATTGCTTAATTTTAAAAAGAAAAAAAATATTTCAATGTGCATTTTAATTAATAAATGGCTTTTCACTATGTCCCTGTTAGGAAAATTTTACTGTGCCAAAGCATTCAGTGCTTGGATAAATGCACTTTTTGGAACGATGCATGATACAGGTTTCTCTAGTCAGAGTCTATATTTTTTTGGCTGAGTCAGGCCTTATTTAGCAAAAAATCCCCATTAGTTTTGGACACAAATGCAGTTGGGTGTTGGGATCCATCTGTGGATTAAATTTTTCCAAGGAAATGACAATTATTCTCTTACTGATTCCCTCCATGGTAACCACCTATAATATTAAAGCCAAATATTAGTCACAATCCAGATCTGCGGTCAGATTGTGAATAGTTGTGTGACGCAGAGGGGGATCGTTCCACTAGGAGCACAGATCTTTCCTTTGCACTTACATAAAGATTTACAACAATTACACATATGTTCAGGCTTTCATTAATCATATGCATAGGTAGTTCAATTTCACAATGATAAGAGATGAAAATCTCCTGGCATGTGCATCTACTAGGTATTAAAAACACTTGCTAATCTTCCAAGTAATAATCAGTAGTAATAAATACTAAATAAGTCATCATCAGACTGGTTTGAAATGTAGACAGGCTGGCTTTGCAATCTGCTGTTATGAGGATGTGCTTGCTACCTACAGTGGTAGTTTTAGGTGCTGAATGTAATCTTATCTATCAGAAAACAGCTTTGGCTTTAAAAAATTATGCAATTTCACTTACCACACTGGTCATATTTAATCTTTGTATTAAATTCGATGAATGTGTTTGTTGAACAACTGCTTTGTATTGTAGCTATATGCTAGGTGAAATGGAAAACAGAAGAGTCCTAGAAAAAACAGCTCAGGTTTTTAGGAGTTTGGAATTTTTAATCAAGATGACAAACAATGCACAAGTGAAACATTTAAATGACCAAATGACAACATACGGCAGCCTGCGAGTAAGAATTTTTTATTGTTGGTAAAATAGATCAAGCAGCAATAAAAAAAAATAGTAATAATTCTGGAGAGTTTCTGAGAAGTGGAATGGCGTAAGATTTATGGGGAAGTCTCTATGATGGAAGATTTAATATGTTTGACATAAAACCATGTGTAGTATTAAGGATGCTGAGAACATACCAGAAGACAGAATTGCCTCCTCATTCAGTTAATGTCCTAAAATGTCCATTCTGCCCCTAGAACTTTCTATATACATTTAATCATGTGTATAAATTATAAGTTGCATCTAAGAATGGGATATTCTTACTGAGTGCCTCTGTCTACACCGACAGTTTACTCTAAAGCAATGGAATTTATTCCATATATCTTATTTGCTATTTGTCATCACTGGAACACACAGTAGCGATGCCATACTTATCTGGCACACATATAATAGTTTTTCTAAATAACTAAAATTTGTTTGGGTAGAAGTTATTTTCTCTGAAATATTGAATGCCTCCTTCAACTCTCTAACTGATCGCCCCTGAAACACTCTGTTCCTATCTGTAGTGTAGAATATTTTGTTCCTCTTATGCTATTACAAGTATTTTTTTTTTTTTTGTATTTTTGTTTCAACTAACCAGTGATGAGCTTTTTGAAATCCAATGCTCATCTTTTTTATCTTTATATCGTTATGGCCTTGCCAGGCACATAAGTCAATCTCAATAAATGTAAGTTAAATGATGACATGAAAAAAAGGAACAGTATTTTTGAGTATAATATGATCTTTGAATAATGGCTCAGTATGATTATAATTAAACATAAGCTATTTCATTTTTACCTGCAATCTTTTGGGCCTATCAGAGTGCAATAGAGCTATATCCTCTATATTAGTCCCTCAACTAAGCTTATCTAAGCCCTTCATTTTATTTTTTCTTCTTCTCCATCGGTGTGAGACTTCACTTCTCATTTTCGCTTCTGACAGTGTGCCGTGAATCTGTCAGGCTGTCACCATGTCCTGTCTAATTTGTTGATTCTAATCTGCACTGAGCTGAAAAATTATGTAACCAAGGTTGTTAAAGAAAAGTAAAAGCAATTCTAACAACGACCTGTGGACAGTGTGCCGTGAATCTGTCAGGCTGTCACCATGTCCTGTCTAATTTGTTGATTCTAATCTACACTGAGCTGAAAAATTATGTAACCAAGGTTGTTAAAGAAAAGTAAAAGCAATTCTAACAACGACCTGTGTTTTTTTTTTTTTTTTTTAAACATTATGAGCAGATGCTGAATTTGGAGTTACCCTCTCTTGGTCAATTTCCTCTTTGGGTAAAAAGGCTTCAGGATATGGATTTATGGCATCTCTTTTAGCTTCGCAGAGCACTTAAATGCCTTAGTCCTGTGTTTGCTGTGTTATGAGTAGTTGAGGAAAACCTCTGGGTAAGTGAAGTACCTGTGTGTCTACAGCTATTTATATGTTCATATGCATATGTATAATAAAATCGTACATTCATTTATAAAGAAAATATTTGAATGCTTGCTGAGTCCATTTATTATTATGACCTTTTCTTTCATGAAATAGGTTAAAACCAACAACAATTAGTGGGACTGTTTTTAAGAAACTCATACTTTCAGAGCAGCCAGGTTATTATATAGTAAATTACCTCTTCTGTCATGCTCTGGAAGATTTCATTTCTCTCACATGGGTGAGACAATTATACTCTGAAAACACCATATTCATTTTAGAGCTAGACCCTACATTACTATGTTTCTTAACACAGTGATTACGATGATAATTTCATCTGTATTATCTGGTACATTAGCTCTCTCAGAGGTAATGAGCCTACAACCTCGGTTCATCTTCTATTACCATGGATGACAGTTCCTGCAGCCAGGTAGTCCTGCCATAAACACAGGTCATAGTTAGAATTGCTGCCAGTTGAGGAAATACCAGTCATTATGCACAGACTTATCACTGTCCCTGGGAAAAGGCAAGCCTTATTACTGGAGGCTCAGTAGTATCATCATTTAATAATAGTGATGAAATATTAATAAGGAGACTAATAATAAGCTAGCATCTATGGAGGACTTTCCAGGAAGCAAGCACTGCTCTTGTGCTTTACAGGACATGCTACACTATAGTTCTGCATTGCACGGACATTTGCATAAAAATATAATGAAAGAGAGGGAGAGTAGGAAGGAGGGAGGAGCGGAGACAAGAAAATATTCCTAGGAAAGGATTGGTTCTAAAGGAGACACAAACACCTTCAGTAGTCACTAGGGAAGGCGAGCCTGGCAGCAGCCTGCATAGTTCCCCTCCATCGCAGTGAGAAGTACTTTTCGGTAAGAGGTGTCACCATTAGCAAGTGGATCCACTGTGTGAAACACCTCTAAGCCTCTTTGCTTTAGCAATACTTCCTTGGAAGGCCATAAGACTCATGCAACTCGTTTTCCAGAACTATCAAAAAGCAAAGCAAAACAAAACAAACAAACAAAACCTTCAGACAGCCAAGTCTAGTCACTATTGTAGATATTTACAGAATATGCTTCAAGCCACAAAGAAAATGCAAAACACATTTTGGGTAATGTTAACAACACTGTAATGATACTTTTGAAAGAAAGGGTACATACCTGCATGTCTAGATTTTGGAATGCAAGATTTAACAATTTGTGGCTTTTTTTTGGTCAAAACACTGCATGTTCATTGTGAAACATGTAAAAGGTAAGCATTTTAGAATGTGGAAGAAGGTAGGAAAATGTAAAGAATGAAATTCATATTCCCATCATTGGAAGATAACCATTATAAATACTTTGATATTTTTCTATATTGCTTCTCCTTTTTTATGTATATTTCTGTGTCTATTTTTAAGTTATTTATGTTTTACAATTTTACGATCAATTGTGTCATACTTTCTGATCCATGGATATCAAGGATATCATGCTTTTTATATTTATCTAAGCATTCGTCATGCAATTAAAATCATTTAAAGCATATATTTGAATAATTACATATATTGTATGTTCATAATATATATGAACTATAATTAATCATCACACATCCTTGTGCATTTATATTCATTTTTGTTTTTTAGTCTTACAAGGATGCATCAACTACTCTTGCAGACCAATGTTTATCTTCATATCGTACAATTTTCTTGGAATAGATTTCTAGATGTAGAATTACTAGATCAAAGGGGATGAACTGTTAAAACTTTCTTTTTTAATTGCAGTTCTTTCAAATCAAATCCCAGTGCATATAATTTCAAAGATGTTCTAAGTTATGTGTTTCTGATGATGGTGGTGACATTGCACAGTGGGGAGAGATTGAGCTTTGGGTCAACCTGGTATGTGTTTGTAACCTTGATCTGCCACTTACTAGCTGTGAAAGATTGTTAGATTATTACAGGAATTAGAAAGAATACCTGTGAAATGCCTGGCACACAGTGATCACTTTTGTACCATTGCTGCTACCACTACTAATAACAACAAGAATGACCAGGTCAGTAAATAAAATGTTAGTTGGGAGAATAAAAAATATATATGCAGTAAGCCTTTACATAACATACAGAATCTATTTTAGTGCCTGATTAAGTGCTAAAATCATAAATGAAGAGGTAAGTATCTAAGGAGTTAGGAACATATTGTAGCTATAGCTGGACGTATAGGTTGGCATTAAACAAAGGCAGGAAAGTAAAATGGATTTTCCAGTTGATAGTCAGAAATTGAATAAAGTCACAAATTTATTTAAGGCGATATTAGGATTGAACATTAAACTTGGGACAGATTTTAGACTCTTAAGAGAAGGATGACAAGTTGACACTTTATTTTTCCTTACACAGGGCAGGATCTACAGATGACCGAGTAGAACAGATGTAAATGGGACTGGTGTCATGGTCATCTGAGTCATTTCTTCATCCCTTGCCTCTGCCTACAGTCCTACATGTTATCATTTCTTCTGATTTTTTTTTTCCTAATATGATTTCCCAAATCCCAATTTTAATTTAAGAGGAAATAGAGATATAGATTGTGCATTCCAGGAAATGATCTCATGTGAGTGAAAGCTGTCGATATGAATCTTAAGCCTCTGATACCAAGTCTAATGTTTCTTCCTCTGCTTTCTGCAAAATGTAATATTTTTCATAGTATGACTGCTCTTACAAATCTAAAACCCAGAATGGGACTTATATTTTTCAAAGCCACTTACTAATTCCCTCCAAATTATTTCTTCCCTGACTCTAAAATATATGAAGTTTGACTTTTTGCTTTTTATACAATATCCAGTTCCAAATATTTGGCTCAGTGTTTATGCTTCCCTGTGGGAGAGTTTCTTTTATTTAAAAAATTAGGTCGATATCTGCAAGTTTGATTGAATTTTTCCTCTACCATTGACCAGTTTCTATTATGCAGGCGTATATTTTCAACCGATATTTAATTCCAATTTTTTATGAATTTATGTTTTAACATTCAAAGTTCTTGTGTATAAATTACAGTAAATAAAATTTGTATTACAACTATGCAAAAATAAAATGCTTTTTCTGACTATCACCAATAACATTACTGATTAATGAGAACATAATAACATTGACAGCATTATATGATCATTAAAGTAAAATACAAATTATGTCACTACTCATTTTATAGGTGCTTAGTGAGATAGTTTAATGTATTTATTAGAATGAAATCCAGATTGTTCTTACACTGCATTAGGATTTGAGCTACACCCAGTCCATTTTAAATGTTAAAGAAATTCAAATGAATTATTACTATAAGTGTTTTAGAAATTGTTTCTAGGATTAGTAGTAGAGAAACTCTGAATTTATAACACAGACTTAAATTCTATCACCAGTGTTTCGGCTTCTGATCTTTTTATCAGCAGAGATCTCATTTCCAAACTTGTATTTATACCAAAGTCTGTTCTTTTGCATTGTTTGCGTAACTGAGTTACCGAGTTTTGGCAAGGCAGGAACTGACACTATAAATAATGCTTTTTTGCAATCCGATTGCCATTTCCCTGCATCTAAACTGAAATACACGAAGACCCACGCTGTACCTGCTAAAGCAACTTAGGAAAAACAAATCAATTGGGAGATCTAGCGTTAACACTCAGTAAATGTTCTCATTTTTAAGTGTTAACACATGCAATAGTGTTTTCAAAAAAACTCCTTGAAAAATACCGATATATTTTCTCACTTGGGCAAGGTCAAACCCCACAGCTCCTGCTCTTATTTTATATTATTTTTACATAAAAAATATAGTACCTCTTTAGTACAGATTAAGTGAAGGAAGGAATATTCTTAATAGATTATTTGCCAAAAAAAAAAGTACATAAAAACATGTAGACACACACACACAGTTATATCTGTTGTTCCATGATGACAAATCTCAAAACCTCATAAGTGGATGAAGAAAGCTAAGTTTTGATTTGTACTTACTTTGTAGTGACAGACGAGCCGTGGTCAGCTCTAAGACTCCCTTTCTCGGTAAATTTTTTTCATGATTCTGATTTTACAGTGTTTAGAGTCCAGTTTAATTTCACAATTTGCAATTCCAAAAATTATCTATTCACCCATTGCACACATATTTCTTATGCATTAAAACTGTGAAGAATTCAAAATAGATCATGGCAACTCTCAGTATTTTTGAAAAGTAGAATAATCTGTAAAGCACTGAAGCTAAACAACTTCAACATTTTAGTAAAGCACGAGCTAAGTACACATAACTTAAAGCAGTTCCCTTAGGGTAGAAGATAATTGAAATATTATTTGTATTTTCTACTAAAAGTAATCTTAACATCTACCTGGTCAAAGCATCACTTAGCACAACAGGCTTAGTCACCAATGCCGTATCCATAGTTTCAAAATCCAGGCAGCATAATGGAAATTTATGCAAGTCTCCTTAATCCTGGGCTCAGAATGAATCAGTGTTCTTCCCTAAGTGAATTAAGCACAGAAATTAGTTTATTTCTCTCTATGTTCTATCTTCTTTCCTCATGCATTGTTGGCTTTTGTTCATTTTTCCTCTCCATGGTCCATACATTATTTCAAGTTGTACAAAAAGGGGGTTGGAACCCAAACATAGCCGCTGATGCAGGAGAAGTGCTCTGCATTATCCCATGACCATTATTTAGCATTTGGTTCATCTCTGGAAATGCAGCTCAAGACCTGCATGATTCCAGCTCCAGAGGCTCCATAGAAAAGCATTGCCTATCAAAGTGACATGCTGAAGAAGCACCAAGCACACTTGATAATAAAATCCAAACCATACCCCATAAGGTGAGACAGTCCATTCATCAAAAAAAAATTTTTTTAATTATTTTTTGAATCATTTCTCCATCATGAAAAGCAATTCTCTGTGAGTTGACTTACAGGCCATGACATAAAACCAAAAAAAGAAAGAAAGAAAAGAATAAAAAGGAAGAAATCTAGGCATTGACAGGTGATCTGTACTTCCTACCATCTCCTGACCCCATTTATGAATCTCCATCAGAAGGCAGCCTGACTTGCAGCCCATTTCCAGCAACATGGAAACTGGAGATCTCCCCTACAAAAGGTTTCAACCCTAACTCCACTGAAGACCCCCTCAGACCAAGAACAATTTTTCTCACAGGAGAGTTCCAGAGAGTCTATGAGTTCATGCACGATGAGAGTTTCATAATTTCCTCTCTGTGCAAATACCAGGGTATTTATTTCTCTTACGTAATTTCCAGGGAATCAGATATATGACCTGACCTCTATTCTGTTGGTCTACTGAGGGGCCTTACCGTCAAACGGTTACCCTTGGTGAGAACGTACCCAAGGGCTGATATATGACTGTAAAGGAACTTAACAATTCCTGGAAGGAAAAGGGTTAAGAGCCAGTAAAAACAGCATAAATTTACACATGACCTAGTGTGATTACACTTTTATTCTCTCCCTTGCAAAGAACAACAACAATGCCAATCTCTATAACTAATGCTTCTGGTCTAAAACATTCTTTCTAATTGTCATGTTTTCACCCACTGCAGATGATCTCAACAACCTTCTGGTTAGAAAGGATCCATAGATAGAGAGATGCACTTGCTGGTGAGTTTTCTACCAAAAGGATCTAAAAGGTTCATTACATCATGGAAAAATAATCTCTGCTGAGCTGATGGTGCAGCCTTGTGGGATTGGTTTGTGATGGTTTGATTCTGGTTGACAAGTTCTAAAATTGTAAGCATTTTGTCCAAATCTTGTTAGCAGGGGGGATGACTTGAATAGCCGGAGGCCTTGGCACCAGAAAGAATTACGAGCAGATAAAAACCACTACAGTGGCTTCAGTTAAAAAACAAATAAATAAATAATGTCCCCTGTACTGTCACCTTTCATCAAGCAGAGTGCTCTGCCTTCTTTCTACAAAATATAGGAAGAGGAATGTCTAAGGAAATAAAAAGTATTTGGGGATAAATCGAGAACATGCACCTGTCTTTCTTTATACATGAGATTGAATGCTCCAAAGAGTAAATGAAGCACAGGTCTTAGTCTTCTCTGCCTAAGCCCTGCAAGGAAGGTATCCCTAGATGAGTGAGCAAATGGCAAACTGAGCCCTCAGTGCGGGGTTGCCTGGAGCCAGCAGAAAGTGGGCAGAGGCAGGCTGCTGTCTCTCCCTCTCACCTACTCAACAGCCTCTTTTCCATTTCTTCTCTAGAAATTTTTCACCAGCTAGAAAGCAGAGACACTAGTTGCTACACTGAGGGGAGATGTTAGATGCATCTGGGTGGCCATGCCGTTGCCTACAGAGCCCACAGATGCCAGGGGGGGGGGGCATGGCAAATCCCACCAATGCTACTCCATTCTCTTTCTCCCCTGTTCTCCTCCTTCCTGCTGTCTGCACACAAATTCCTCAAGATAACCCTCTACAATGCTTCCTGATAACAGAGCTCAAGTACCTAGACCAGCAGATACCCAGAAATGATGGTTTGGGGGACTTGTGAATACCACTGATTTTATTAGAAGTGCTGATAAAGAACTGAATTACAATGGAAAAGGTAGCAACCCAGAAAAAAAAATAAGCATTTAGAGATAGCATCTTTGGGAGATTTTTCTTTTAAAAAATCATTCTTTTAAAAGACTCATTTCTTTGTGAGGAGTGACTTTCCTGGCACCAGATATGACTGACTCTGCAGTGAATCTTCCCACACTTGTTTCTTTCCTTGTGTTCATGAAAAATAATGTAGGATTGAGCATCACTGATGGGAAAGTATCTGGGTCAGAAAAATGACCCAGAATAGAGATATAGGCTTTACAGGAGAATATCTTTATATTACTAGACCCATAAAAAATAAAACCCTGGGCCTTTCTGATACACTAAATTAAGGTTGAAACACTTTCCTTGACACTAGAATAAGGGCCTGTAAACTACACCTGCAGGCCAAATCTGGCTCACAGCGTGTACGGCCTGTAAACTAAGAATGTTTTTACATTTTTAAGGTAGAAAAAAACTCAAAGGAAGAATATTATTTTGTGAGATTTTAAATTTTATGAAATTCAAATTTCTGTATTCATATAGTTTTATTGGAACACAGCTAGGCTTATTCTTTTTGCACATTGTCTATGACTGCTTTTAAGCTACCATGGCAGAGTTGAGTGGGTGAAATAGAGACCATATGTGACCCACTTATTGGAACACAGCTAGGCTTATTCTTTTTGCACATTGTCTATGACTGCTTTTAAGCTACCGTGGCAGAGTTGAGTGGGTGAAAGAGAGACCATATGTGACCCATACAATCTAAAGTATTTATTATTTTGCCAATTATAGAAATGTTTGCTGGCCACTGCACTAGAATTATGCTATGGAGCATCAGGCTGAATTGAGTGAAAAGGGGTGTGAGTGGTATTCCTCACCTCTGATTCTTGGAAGCTAAGTAACTACAATTGAACCTTTTATTTAACTATTGGTGCCTCCTTGTTAAAGTGGAGAGAAAATGCTTGTAGATTTATTTTAGGATGAAGTATATAATGATTGTAAAATATTTGTTCAAACAATAAATGTTTTCCACTCACACTAATTATAATCGGCAGCCTTGATCAAATACCTTTACATGATAAAATTAAGTGGTTTCCAAGTGGGTTCATAAAATAGAATTAAGACTATTATTAATATCAATCATTAAAAATCAGTGAATATAAGGTGAAACAAAACCATCAATGAAAGTGAAAAATGGTTCCATAAAGATTAAGTTTTGACCTATTTTTGAACAGTGTATATTTCCTTGATTTTTGCAAATCTGTATCTAGAGTGTTTTAAGGATCCAAATCCGTAAAATTTTCAGGCAAGTATTTAACTCTGGGTTGCTTCAGCTTAACACATCTTGATCATTAAATGTTAAACTTAAGAATGTTTAGTAATTGAAAACGACATCAAAAACAACAAACCATTGAATAAATTGGATTATTTTCCAATAAAAAATCTGTGCCCTGAAAAGTGTTTAAGAATTTCATTTAATTTCAGTCGCAGATTAAACTATTGTACGATCCCATTTCTTTGAGGAAAAAAAAATCTATATCTATTTGTATCAATGTTTATATCTGC